GCCATCATGCATGTATGTATATATGTATGTGCGTATGTATGTATGTATCTGTGTATGTATGTATGCATGCATGCATGCATGCATGCATGCATGTATGTGTGTGTGTGTATGTATGTCTGTATGTACGTATGTATGTATGTATGTACGTTTGTGTGTGCATGTATCTGTATGACACAGATGAGGCTGCAGGCACGGACACACACACACACACAGACAAAGAAACACACATGAATGTAAATGAAAACATTCACCAATGTGCTCACGTAAACAAACACCATTACAGCTACACCTGCAAGAGCACAATCGCAGGCGTACATACATACATACATGCATACATACGTACCTACCTACCTACCTACCTACCTACCTAAATTAATCCATGCATTATGTAGCGAGAGAGACACAGAGAGGGAGAGAGAAACCCACAGACTGATAGAAACAGATGAACGTGGAGGATTGAGAAATAGGCAGTGACAGAAGGACAAAGATACACAACATGTACTCACAGTTACAGATACAACCGGGCTAACAGGCAGGCCTATACACGAATGCACACAAGGAGGACAAGTCCACACACACACACACGCAAATGCAGGCAGAGACAACAGGGACTTATAGATTATCAATCACCATCAGAAGCCCTAAGGGAAGCCAAAACACTACTCCGAAACAGGCAGATGACCCCGAGGCCGGATTCCTCACACATCTACCCCAAAAAACTCTGTTTTGCATCAGGACTTGTGCAAATCGCCCTTGATCCCCAAAGCCTGGGGAATCATAGGGTTTCGACTCTCGCTCTCGCAGAATTATAGGGTTTAGGGCTTATAGGATAACACGGCCAAGCTCCTGTGTGACCAGCGTCAGGACGCTTCGCTTCACTCGGCCCATTTGCCCAAGCTCCACCAGGCGACGCCTTTACTGTTACTAGTCATGTGATTAGTACTAGAAATAGTAGTAGAAGCAGTAGTAGTAGTCGTCGTCGTAGTAGTAGTAGGAGGATCAGTATCAATACTAAGAATTGCCAGTATTGGGGCTGTGATTACTATATATAAGTACTAGCTATGAGTCCTCTTCTACAAACTAGCATGGCTGGGGTTTATTTAACTATTATTGTGTGTTATGTGAGGCCACTTGAAGGGTTTTGTCGATCCAGGCAGGCAGACAAATTAGTGCAACCAGTTCGGGCACTGGAAGTTTTATCTGGAACTTTCCTTCATACAGAATACAAAAATCATGTTAAGCATGCTTTCATATATATATATATAGACACACAAATTATACACATAAAAACAGTTTCTATACCTGACAGACTTTCCGAGCTAGCTTTCCCTGTTTCTGATTACACGACAGTATGTACAGATGCGTACATCTGTCCGCTTCTCATGCTTGCGAGCGAGAGGCAAGGCTTGGATGACCCCGGGGATGTCGCGGAGCCTGCAGGATCGCAATACAGCCAGGGACCCGAGCAAGGAAGCGCAATGAACCTCAGGCTGAAGTTAAGTCCCGTCTGTCCGAAAGTCCAGGAAACCCATACTAAGGCTTGGGAGACCGGTCTAAACACCACACTGCAAAAGCCACTTCAGACCCAAAAGCCGACGCCCCGAAACTTGCGACCCCCAAAGCTCCTTAGGCGTAAATCTCAGGCCAAGGCTTCATGCAAATGCCCATGAAGCTCTCCTGGGCTCTGAGATTACGGCTTGGGGTTTAGGGCTTAGGGTTAGGGTTAAGGAGCCAGGAGCTTTAGGACAGTTGGGAGGTAAGACTTGTCCCAGAAGGGGATGGAGACTTACGTCATCTTTTAAAACTTGGCTGGCCGGGCAGAGCTAAAGTTCATGGCAAGGCCGATGACATGTAAAGCACCCTCCTTGATTGTAAATGACAAAAAATGGCATCGACGGCCCAGCCTTCTGAACCCTTCTGGCCCCTCGCCCCTGCAATCCTGTCTCAAAGCCACCTTGCCCAAGATTCATCGGGAAAGTGCTGTGTTACTCGGGCAATACAGTGCAATAGCTCAGTCCCAAAACCATCGCAAGGGCTCCTCATCAGGCTTCCGAAAGAATCGTTGAAAGCCTGCTGGATCCATGACCGACTTTCCACTCGTGCAGAAAACACAACTATGGCCCCGACAGCTTGGCGAGAGCGTGTGCATATTTCGAAGGGCGTTTCCGCGATGCTTTATTCAACCCCCAAGCATCCTAACCCCTAAACTCTAAACTCAAATTCTTGACCCTAAACCCAAATTCTAAACCCTAAGCCCTGAAGCAACCAAAAAATATAATATATATATATATCCCAGGCTGAGGCCGTCTCAACCGCTGAAACGATCTTGCGCATCTTTCTGCCTCATTGATAATCCCAATTGGCTTGGGTTTTCTAACTAGATAGGGAAGCTACTAAGACAGGGAAGCTATTTAAAAAATACTGTACTGGTATATATAGGGATGATAAGGGAATGCCGGAATGCAACTTCTAATCGTTTCCGATCTCCATGTTACACACGAGGGACTCCCAGTCCACCGTCGCAATCCTATATTAGCTGTTGCTCGCAAACCCTACACCTCAAACCCAACCCCTGAACCATGAACCTTAAGGGCAAAAGGTCAGAGGTCATCTCATGCATTGTAGTTAGAACCGATGCGCTTCGGTCTTGAATGCCAGGCGGCCCACATCCGCCAGTTTTGGCGACACCTGCCAAGTAGAGTCAGCAGCACCAAGAGTTTGAAACCCCAAGTCCTAAGGAAGTCAAAGCCTGGAAGACCCGGACGCGTCACGAAAACCCTCAACTGACCATATGCCCCGGGCCTCCTCGTGGCTTCCACCATGCAGGCACGAGCCTCCTCGAAAACATCATGAAGTTCGCGGTTCAGTTCAGGCAATGTGATCTGGACTGCATGGGGGATAGCAAGATGACCAGATAGAGGCTGGGCAGTTTCGCATTGTCCTATAGAGCTTGCTAACTCAACCATGTCTTGAAGTTCTAAGGAACCTTGCCTCACCTATCGAAGCAGATTCTGTCATGGTTGTCTTTCTTCGCATTGTCACTTTCATTCTTGCGATTAGTATCCTGAACAGACGCATTATTACTATTCACTATCTTCATGGTTCTTAATGGTGCTAATATTCTTACTGTTGCTGATACAACAACAACCACAACAACAACCACTACTCCTACTACTGAGATTCCTTTTGTATTACTGCAAGTAGTATCAAGAATGAGACTAGCAACCTGACAACCTGACTGCTGCTAGTATCACTATGGTCACTACACTTGGCTAGCAGGTACCCTACACCCAAAACCCTAAATAACAAGTACCTATACAAGAGAGGGCTTATCAAGGAAAGACAGCCCCACCAGGTCAGCGAGCAAGACTCACCAACAAAGCGCCTGCTAACAAGTACACGTGCTAATGCAATACTATTGCTTGTTGCTTTTGCTGGTTGACAGTTAATATTACTCCCGTTCTTTCTCTATTAGTCTTCTTGCTAATGCTACTACTTCTACTACGGCTATTACTAGTAATACTAACTACTAACTATTGCTAGAGTCTAGTACCAGCAGTACTATTACCATTACTATTTCTTTTGCTAACATGAATATGAACTTTCATTCTTCTTGTAGTTCTTCTTTTGTAATTCTTCTTCAGATTCTTCTTCCTGGTAGCTGCACGAAGGCATGCGCACGCTTGATGTTTGCTTCTCAAGTCTTGGTGAAACGAAGGCTTGTCGCAGCATACTTCAAATCTGCGTCGCAAGCCGTTCCTAGCCACAGGTGCAGTTGAGCAGATGTGGCATCGACTGAATTCGCAAAGGGCGGAACTACACCACCTCTATAATACAGGGGACATCGGTTTGCATGACACGGCAATGTGCGAGACCGGCCCATGAATTTTTCACAGACGAGCTCGCGAATCAGTGATTGCTTTATGCAACCACTGCATACCATGTGCAACATCCGAGTCAACGCCGATTTGTAGTCGGCTGGTTGGTGTTATCGTAGCCTCATAGTCGACAGTTAAGTCAACTTCAATGTCTAATTACGCCGCTTGGCGCAGTTGAAACCAACGGAGCCTCATGGTCCCATTCTCTGATACGGTCTCACTGCCTTGGCCTGACGACTGCCACTGCAGAAGCAGAAGAAAACCGCGCACCCGCCGAGGAGGACCACCAAGGCCACCACTATCACAATGATCAAACCTACGTTGGCACTCCTACGCCTCCTAAAGAAACAGTGGTTAAAAATATCCTCTTAACCTAATCAGGGAGAAGACTTCCCAGTGGCCTACCTAGAGACCTGATCCGGAGGACATTCCCGCGGGAGAAAACACGTCGGCGAGGAAGTTGCCACCACCTCTCACGGGCTTGCAGCGGCTAAAGTCGTCACATCCGTACAAGTCCGAGAGTTGGGACACATCTTGCGTGCTCATTCCCATGCGCTGACCAATCCTGTAGAACTGATACTGCGAAGGGTCTGTCGTGTAGACGTGGTATGCCGCAGGCTTCACTATCATGGTGTCCCGGCCGTTCTTCGAAAACGATCGGGAGCCGTAGTGCATGATGGACATGAGGTCATACGGGCGGTTAGTATCCGCTTTTGAGTTCTTGGTAAACTGATTATCCATTCCGGGCTTGATGTTGTTCCATAGGATGGTGACATATCGGTCCCGATCCGATCTCGCCTGCTCGTGCGCCATTCCGAGGCCATGGAGAAGCTCATGAGTTGCGGTGCCGCAGTTGTCACAGCCAGGAGTTTGTATGTTCAACTTCTGATTCCCTCCGAACAAGGACGTGGACATGCCGATGTCTGCCCAGCAGCCATGGCCGCTGCGGCGGCCGTTTGACTGCATGAAGATGGCCGGCGACTGACCACATGTGTCGACCCCGGTGTATTGCACATTCTGGAAGACGATGCCAGGTAGATGACTTGAGACCTTCTGCATGGCACATGTCAAGGCTTCCCGGGCACTTGGGGCAATGTGGATGTCAAAGCAAAACTTCACAATGGCATTCGTCCAAGGTGTGCCGGCTCCAAAGCTTCCACCTTCGTCACAGCCAATGTTAGCGTTCTCGCAAGCACTGTTGGACGCACCTGTCTCTGCATCTTCGTAGTCCGCCAGGTGACCCAGGTGAAGGCTCATAACGTCCTCACCTTTCATGTGACTCGTGAGCCAGTGGACATCATCCGTCGTAAGGATCGCCCCGTGCGAAGCAGCTTCCTCGAGCCCAGCCGGTGCGGAGACGAGGTTTGAGAGCTCCATCATCACTCGTCTCACACTCCCATAACTTTCCTCTTCTAGGAAGCCGTTCTCACAGGACCACTTGACGTGCTTCGCATCGTTTCGCATCTGGTCATCCGTCGTCCGATCGTAGACAAACTCGGCCGCTCTCTTCAGCCCGCCCATGACATGCTCACTCCTCGTATCTTCATCGTGCTGTTGAAGAATGCAGTCCACGGTACCCGAGATGGCGCTTTCGTCGATCTGCAAGAAGAGAACCTGGTCCAGCAGCCAGCAGTCTGCTGTGCTCGTGTCGTAGGTGAAATAGCGGCAATTGTTTGAGCTCGCACAGGATGACTGGCAGGTCTCCGCGTCCTGGACGTTCTTGCTGAAGGGCTCCCCTCGCTGCTCCGCCGAGCCGTAGGCTTGGGCATTGAGGCATGTCGCGGCCGTCGCGGACGCCGTCGCAGCCGCCGTCACCGCCCCAGCAGCAAGGAAAAGGCTGTAGAACCACGGCATGTTTACGAGGATCAGCAAGCTGTCTGTAGCCAGGTTTTGAACCAGAACTCGACACTACGAGTAGACGGCTTAGGAGATTCGCCTGTACAAGTCCCCTGACACCGACTCCTTGCATAGAATTACCGGGAGCAGCTTCAGCTCATCTGAAACATCCTTCCCATCACGCTGCGTTGTTGTTGTTGTTGTTGCGTCTTCGTGGGTCGCTCTATGCTGAAACCGTCTGCGCCCTACAGTCCAGGAAACAGGTTTGATGAGGTCCTTCACGCGGTCTTGGTGCAGGTGTACGGCAGCAAGGTTCGCCCACGCCTGGCCGTCCTCCAAAGATTCGGCGTTCGAGTCTCTCACGCTACAGGACAGGAGTTATCAAATCGAGGCCTTTATGTGAGATTCTGACTGAATCCAGGCCGGTCGGGAACACCACAAAATCCCTCCTCAGGCCTGAAGGTTTCAACCGCGCCACCATGCAATGGTGTCAGCAAGCAGGTTTGTATCGCATTCGTGCATGCGGACGTGTCGACTCAAACAAGCAAGCCCAGAACCAGTGACGAGCAGATGTATGCGGATTCGTACTCGCAAGACAGGAGGTCAGCATGTAAGCAAGCATGGGCATGGGCTGTGTCCAATTTCTCGTGTGTGCTTCGATGCTTCCAACCTTCGATTTCCTTGTCCACCTGAGAAATGAGGCCTGGAGTCCTTGAGTACTGCACGTGGTTTTGGATGGTTGGGAAAAAGGGATCATGATGGCTAATGCGTCTGTGCTACTTCCTCACCGCCTACGACTTGCTAGCCCGCGACGTCTCATTCTCATGCCGTTCGTCTTAAAATGATGATGCAGATCTTACATGCGCCATGGGCATGACAGACAACTTAGCTGGGGTGGGCCGGCAGACGATCAAGGGGCATGTCATGACGCATAGCTTTCGTTGAGACTTGACACCTATCGGTCGCACTATGAGTAAGTACGGAGATATTGTGACAAGGTCCTCGTCGTTGATGGAAAGTACGCGGGAGAAGGCGATCATGGCCTCCTCCATCCTCTCCAACTGCATCAGGCCAACACCTTCTGCAGTTTTGCAACAGCTGTGGGTCTCTTGCTATGAATAAATAGTCTTCACTCCCTATGAAAATCAGGTGATCTTACCGACATTAAACGACTTAAACTCACATGGCTGAACCTGTATATTGAACTTACAAACAGCAACAGATTGAAACTACTGCAGTCCATATGCTTGATCTCGTCGACTCCTTGCATAGCACACATAGCTAATCGCAGCTTGGGTGAGTCAGTTTCGAATGCTAGACAGTTCGTACGAACCTATGAATGTGCCGACCTTCCTTGTACAAATAAATATAAATAAATAAATATATATATATAAAATATAAATAAATAAATATATATATATATATGTACATATATACATACAGTATATATGTGTGTATATATATATATGTACACACATATGCAGAGGACATATATACCTGCATGCAGTTGTTAATGGTTTGTATGTAAGTCTGTATACGTGTAAACGCGAATTGCCACTTTCATCATTAACACCCCCATATACCCCCATCGACATGGAACACAAGCTGTAAGTAGTAGAACGTGTCACCAACATGTCACATAGCTTCAGGGAGCGCCTCTTATGCAACGGGCTTGGACGGCAGGCCTTACAACCGTAAAGTCTACGCCCTAGGCATGAACTCGGCTTCGAAGGAATGGCAAGCACCCCACCACTACTACCAGCTGCTAGCTTTGGCTTTAAGGTTGCACTGCGGTTCGGGTCCAGGGTGTCGTCTGGCTAAGGTCTGTTCTGAAACAGAATCCAGACAGGGCGAACAGGAGCTTTGGATGCGGACCGGGCTCGAGTTCTTCTTTGGCTCATGCTTGCAAAAAAAACGGAAGCACGGGTCAGATGCCGGCACGCCCAACCCCAACTTCAGGGTAGTTCCCAAAGCGATCCACCGCTGACCAAAACCGCGACTTTGAAGGCGTACAAGGCCTGAGGTTTGGGGTTCCGCAGACACAAATCCCTGAAGCGGGCCTAGAGTGAACCAAATGCCCTCGAACATGGGGTTGATGTCGAGAGCCAGCTTGAAGGACTCCACCGCTTTGTCCAGTTGCTTCCTGGGCTGTGTTTTGCTCACTAGGGAGCCTTCAAGGTATTTATGCGGCCTCTAGTGTCCACTCAACGAGAGGTGGCACAGAAACATAACCTGACTCAGGTCCTCCACCAAAAAAGCGGCCTGAGCAATTACAATAGGCTTTCGGGATATACTATGCTTGTATTGAAGATCCCTGTATAATAGGAATATTACGGTGACTTCTTCTGTGAATATGGGCTTTTTCTTCTCATTTGGTAGTCATGATGGTATCCTACAAAAAGCTCTACTTGCGCCTGGTTGCTAACCCGTGATATAGCCCCACTGGGGTAAAACTTGTAAAAACAAAATGGCCTACGCCTTGGCCCAGCATCTTGTCAAAGTAGTACTTACCAAGAGCCCGCTGGGCTCTGGCGAAGCGTCGATTGGAAAGCTCCCATGCCTGTTTGAGAGAGGATACGTAGGTTTTGGGGCTTTCAAGGGATGGAAAGTTGCACCCGGGAGGCAAGGCGAGGTAAGAGCTTGGGGTTTGACTAGAGTTTAGGGCTTGGGCATGTTTTGGTTAGGTTGCGGGTTTAGGAGTTTGGGATTTGAGGACTTTTTTGGTTTGGAGGTTAGGCATCGGGGTTTGGGGTTTGACTGACACTCTCGGTTTTGCGGTTTAGAGTTTGAAGGATCGGGGTTTCGGTTTCGGGATTGAACACTTTAGGTTCCGATTCGCGCCAGTCACTGAATTGCGCCTTGATGGAAGCTAACTACCCTGCAGACGATCGAGCACTCGTGCACTGACGAGTTTGGGGAGTCGCGTCCAACTTGGGGCCGCGCGTGCTGCGACTATCGACTGCTAGATCTTACCTGAAGACTGCAACCGAGACCAAGACCCTGTGCAACAACGCCATGCCCTCTGCACACATACACAGTACATCGGAAGCCTTCTCGTAGTGAGCAGGGTCCTTGACGATATCACCAAGGCAGCACCACAGCCGGGGCGACGGCTGTTTTTCGATTAGGTCCTGGCGCAAAGCACAGGACCAGAATGCCCAGAAATGATGCTAATGGGACCCTAACATTGATTGAGGCTTTTACACAAAGACTCAGCAATCAGAGGTCTGCATTGAGCTGCCCTGCGGATTTCGGGTTTCGTGCCGCAGTTTGTATTGCGATCGATCGCCTCAGCGCACTTCTCTTCGATTCGGGGCCCCTAGAGAGCATAATATGGAAGCCTTGATAAGAAGAGGGCTTGGGGTATCATGTAGAAAAAGTCTAGCAAGGGACCATGATAGCGATTTGTCGGTCGCGGTCTACTTCACTTCGCGGTTCAGGAGACTATAGTAAGTAGGTTGGAAGCACAACAATCACAGTTACCTCAAGTGCAGCTATGATAACCCTGTTCCTACCCCAGCTACTAAATCTCTTTCCAACCCTGAAGCACACCTTTGTTGAGGAGGGGGCTGCCTCATGCCTGCCCCACATCCGAAATATTCCTGATCCTAAACCTTGAAAAAGTAGGCATCAGTTCCTCTAGGGCCGTAGCAACTAGAACAATAGTCTTATCTCTAAGATTTATTCAGTAGCGCCCCGAGGTTCAAGTGTCTGGCCTTCACCATGTCCTCAGCCTCCACGTTACGCTCGGCACAGATGAGGCACTCCACGGCCTCGGGCCACATCCTCAGCTTCTTGAACCTTGGCTGCTCGCATGGCTCAGAGTGTAGAGTTTTTATAAGGCTTATAAGGGTCTATAGGCCTACATGGGGCTTTCCGGTGGCAGGTCCTCTTCTGTTGCTTCTTCTGACCTTTTCCTGCTAGTTGGTTTTTGGAATGGAAGCCGTTCGCTAAAAGGACCTAGAGCCCGATCAGGGCAAGTCCCCCGATCCTTCCACCCTGGTTCCATCCTGTGAAGCCTCGTAAACCCTCCCAAAAGATGCAACCAGGAAATTCCAAGAGCCCAAAAAACTGTAATGCTTCCATAAATACGCACAGTCTTTCATTACTATACATACACATATCATACTGCAATCCGATACCTACTGTATGATAATGCAATTACCTTTTATATTGTAACGAGGCGCTGCTCGTGGGCAGTGCTCATCATCCCCATGCGCATCATGCGGGTGGCCATTTCGTGCTGGAGGTGGAATCCTAGGGTTTATGGGGTACGGGTTTGAAGGCTATAGGGTTTTATCTTGGGCTTAGGATTTCGATTCGCGCAGTCGCACAAGGCGGCACGGTGGAGTAGTAGAGAGCCTATTTGCTTACTGGTGTTGGGGATGCTAGTGGTTGCGACAATCACCGATTTGTCACTCCTTACTTGCTACGGTATCTTCTTCGATTTGGACATAGGATGGTCCAGGGTGGACTGGAACAGCTATCTCCTAGGCAGGTCATGTTGGGCCAAACCAAGACCCATGAGGGACGATGCCCGCTACTTCATCAGATTAGAGTCGGGCCGGGTACCCGGCGCTGTGGACCGTGCGCAGTCGATGGGCAGCAGAGGGACGTTCGTCTGCAAACTGATCCACCAAGGACTGCAGTTGGAATGCTGCGCGCTCGCGAGTCTTATTTCGGTGATGCTCGGCTCGGCAGCGGTACCAAAGACCACAGCTGAAGGTTAGCCAATTTGCAGTAAATAAGGGCCCTTCGTTTGCCTCCTCCTCCCTCGCCTTGTCTTGCGTCTTGACAACGCGCTGTGCTAAAGCGTTGATCTCTTGCAGCACCATCTCGTCGTTGGGATTGCTAGATGCCCAGATGTATTGACACCGGGAAAGAAGAATAATCTGTTCAGTGACGGTCAAGGGCCTTTCGATCTCAAGCCGCACCTCCTCGTCAACAGACTTGGAAAGCTTAGGGACCTCAAGCACGTCCGTCATGTCGTCCACTGTTTTCAAGCTAAGTGTCTCGGGCTTCTTGGCATCAGACTCTTCTACTTCAATGCCTTTGCCGGCCGCCTGACTTTTCGCTCGGACAACCAGCTGTGCAAACTCGGTCGTCTGGAACTCTCTCTTAATGCCCATCACACCAGTAAGCTCGTAGTGGAAGCCTATCGCCTTGCAGGCTGCATCGCTGCTCTTCTCCCAGATCTTCAGGCGGCTGTACCAGCAGAGGCGATTCGCCAACTCGACGAGGACCGTGGCCCGAACGGCCCCTGGCACTTCCGCGGAGGCTGGGGCTCGTGCCGGGGGCTCAAAGACATCGAGGAGGGCCTCCAAGGCATCACTGCCCTCCACCTCGGTCTCCGACTCCTGGGCTTTTGGCAGGGTTATGGTTGGGGTAACTGCCGGTGGCCGTTCCGTGGACCGCTTCCAGGTATCCAGGAGCGGGGCCGTGGCGGCTTGAATGGCTGAGAGTGCGGAAGCTTCCAGGAAGCCCTTGGTCGAGAGCGGCGAAGCTTCTCCGGACACCAGCTCGTACACAGAGGCCCGGAAGAGTGATGGGCTCTGGCCACAACCCCTTTCAGAGGCCTCTGCCAAACTGAGCTGCCAAGCAAAGGCACAGCGAGCACGCCAGAAGGGCAGGGCCGCGCCATCGAAGTTCGGCATTTCACTTGGCACCAGTCGGAACATCAGGGCCGATAGCCAAAGGTACCCAGGACAGACCAGCAACTCGTAGCACGGCTCTCCGTCTGCCTCCAAGGCGCCAAGGATAGCACTTGGGGTACCTTCCTCTATAGAGGCAGAAGGGTGGAAAGGCAGGCAGGCATCATCCTCATCCTTGGCCGGGCCGGTGCAGTTTGCCCGCATATAGTGCTGAAGAAACACGACCCCGAGCATGTACAACGCTCGCTCGCGGACCGGTCTGCTGCCCGAGGGAGCATCCAAGAAGGACATGCTAGCTGAGGTCAGATCCTGGGCTCTTGCTGCAAGTGCATGGATTCATGTTGCCATTGATGATGGCAACAGTCAGAAACATAATCGAAGTCACCAAGAAGAAGAATCAGCATCACCATGAAACTAGTAGTCCTCGCCATAGCAGTAGCAGTCGTCGTCGTGGGGGTGGTGGTAGTAGCAGTAGTGGTGGTCGCAGTAGTAGCAGCAGCAACACGAGGAGGAGGAGCAGAAGTAGTAGTGGACGTGTGTAAGAAAGATGTTTCCCTTGCCCCTTAGCAAGAGCCCAGAATCCAGAACGAGACGGTGCAGACCGCCGGCAGCCAGGGCTGCATCGACCGCCTGGCGCGAGAGGACTTTCGAGAGCTCCTCCAGCCATGGATCCGACAACACCTGGGCTCTTGTGAAGGAGCGTGGTTTGTGTCACCAGGATGAGGAAAACGTATCATTGCTACGGAATTAAAGTTGCCATGATGAGGAACTAGGTTTGAGCTGCCATGAGAAGGAGAAGGAAAGCATAACATATGATGACAGATGATCTGCTCGAAATCCCTGTGACAGCAATTATACTAGATATAAACTCCTGGACAACAGCCCAGGCACGGTCACCAGCTCACCTCCACGGGTCGGCTCCAAGAGCTTCTGCAAGGCCGTGCAGTCGAACCCCTCGGGCCCTCGTAGGTCGGGATCGACTTTTGGACCCAGGCTGCCAGGTTCCAAAGACAGCAAAGCCCACTCTGCTCTGTGCAGGAAGGACGATAGCTTCGTCTCCATGGCGCTGTGAGCCAAATTTGGGCCCTAATCTTAAAGCAAGGTTCAGTCCAGTTGGGGGTTATATTGGCTAAGGCTGCAAAAAGGGTCTTCTTGTGCGATGCATCAAGTCTGACTCATGCCTCTCCTGACTGCGGCTGGAGTGCTGTGGGCAGGAATGGCTTCGACTGACAAGCTCAAGCACCAAGCAACGCAGCTGCGAACAGGACTGAGACAAAGTAGCCGCAGCTCAGCCTGATTGCTGTGCAATTCCAATGCCAGAGCCAGTAGTTGAAATCAAGAACACTCCGGGGCTGCAGCTGTACACATAGCTTGTAGGGACCCGCCTCCGGCATCAGAGCCCGTGCGCGCGAACATGTCTCGCTACAGTAGCGGCTTACAGCTACCACGTACCTATGTCACATACGGTCATATTGGCGGGCGCATGCAATAAGGCGACAAGCATTCTAAGACGCAGCGCTCGTGTCCTGAAAAAGTCACGGGTCCACAGCTAACTTGAGCGTGCTAGAAGCTGAAGGTAGGTGTCCGAACTGGGCAGAATGCTTCACAGCACCGGCTGGCATCTAAGCTCCATGCCCCACGACTGGGCAACGGCGAGGTCCGCCACGCCTCCGGATGGCGGGAGAATCCCGTAATCCACATTGAGACACGGCCAGAACGTCTGAGCTGCACGCCTTTGGCTTTTGAAGGGGCTGCTGTGCGACTGCCTTAGACTAGGAAAGGCTTGTCGACGCAAGTCTCCGTTCCAGTACTGTTCCAGTGCTAGCGGTGTCAGCAGGCGTCACACGGGACACAGCATGAAATGGGGCTTCTGTGGCAGGCGACATTGCGGCGACATGCATCCTCGAAACGATCAGGGTCCAAGAACCCTGCTTCATGGGCATGTGTGATGATGTAATGTGAGGGCCGGGAGGACTGGGCTGAAGACCGGAAGGCTCAAAGGGAAGCTCCGAATACTTCGACCAATCGCAATCCTCAGCCTAAGAGCTCGATGCCTGGATGAGAGCGAACTGCAAACGAGCCAAGTCTTGAACAGAATTAGGAAGCAGGCTGGGGTTTGTAAAGGTTACAGCCACTGTGCCGGAAAACAAGTCGGAGTTGTAAAGTGTGGGATTCCGAAGAAGGCCTACTTTCCCTGAACTGTACGTGACAGCTGCAGCTCAACAGCCGAGGCCAAATCTGTTGCGCTTCCAACAGCTGCTCCCAGACCTTGAACCGAAGCACAGAGACAGCCAAACTGACACAAAGCAACCATGAGAAGGAAGAGCAACCCCCACCACCACCGCCCTCAAGCCCACAAGAAATACAATTTTGAGAGGCTCCAACCCGCAGCAAGGCCCCCGTCCCTTTCATGATTTCTGCTGCAAGGTAAACCTAAGCATGCTGGCGAAAGCCATGGCGCCTTTTTGCACCGCAGAGTGGTAGGCTTCAGGCAGAGCTCAGTCACCACATCAAACGGTTTAGGGTTTAGGATTTATAAGGGTTTGGGGTTTAGGGTTTAGGGTTAGCATGCCGGTGGGGTGACCGTAATGACTTGTGTGCACTGGCATGTTGCATCATGCGTGTACTGTGTACTATCTATCCGCTACTTTAACATCATTGTGAGATGCCCGGTGTGGGCGAGTTAATCAATCTTGGGGCATGGGCTTGAGGTTTGGGATTCTCTGTTTGCCAGCGGCGAAAAACTGGCAGCACTTCTACTTGCCTCTCTCCTGTGGCGTCAAGCTGCGCAGCATGGGCCATCCTTCCGAATCCTCAGTGTTTTGCGATGCAAGCCGAAGTCGAATTCATCCAACCCTGATTGAGCTAGACTTCCTGGATGCTAGATACACCCCTAATGTTTTTGCCTCCCACCTAGCTAGGACGAAGCCCGCGCTGCAGGGTACAGTCGAAAGCCACAATAAAGGACGGCGGATTAAGGTTAAGGGTTTCGGCACTCAACCGGTGATAATCTTGTCAGGGTTTGAACAAGACTCTCGAAACCGGGCCACCCGCAGAACTAGAAGGCTGGCACTGAAGCTCCTAGGCCAGTACAGACAAGCAAGCTAGGACTTGGATGCCACGAAGCGAAACATCTCTTACTGCTGTGAGTTGGGAGTCTCAGTCGGGTCATCCTACCGCCTTCCTCTCCGAACGCGTACGAATCCGAACCCCTGCAGTACCGCATCAGATTTATACCGTGGTCCAGACCCTGCAGAATGGCACGGACACATTGCACACACACACACACACTCTCTTTCTTTCGCCAGGGCTACGACCGAGGGTTGCCCCTCGATCGCGCGCGTCAGCGCCCCCGTATGTTACGGGGCCAGTTGTGAGAATAGATGCGCACTCTCTCTCGCTCTCTCTCTCTGTCCCTTTCTGTCTCTCTCTCAGGGCTCCTTGGCTTACAGGGTAGTGAGAAAAGAGAGATCTGCGCAGGGATGGGCTAAAGCCATGAAGTGTACTTTAATGCCTCCCCCCCCGCTTTCTCTCTCGAACTGGTGGGGCGGCGGCACAAGAAAGCGTAGTGCCGGAGTAAAAGATTCTCTCTCTTTCTCTCCCTCCTTGTGGCCATTAGGGTCCCTGCGCCGAGTTGAAGGAGCTGCGGCTTGGGGTTGGGTTTAGGGTTTCAGCACTCACTCTCGGACAAGCCAGGCGAGGTTAACAGGTGGGTTTAGGGTTTAGGGTTTAAGGGTTTAGGGATTTAGGGTTTAGGGTTTAAGGTTTAAGGGTTTAGGGCCTTCAGCTGCAACTCACTGCCCTGTCCACCTGCATCGCTGAATAGCCCCGAGGCACTCTGACGACCACCAGTGGAGGCTTGAGCCACGCGCCAGCCACCCGCAGAGACACGAGCAACATCAGGTACCAGCTCCCAAACTTTGCCAACATCAGACCTCAGTCACCAGGGTTTTGGGTCAAAGGTCAAGCTTCTCGGCTAGTCTGCAGTCTGTCGGGAGACCTTATTCCCACTTGGTTCAAGCCTACCCAACCTTCAATAAGGGTTTAGGGTTTAGAGGCTTAGGGCTCAAAACCAAAAAGCTTTAAGACAAAAACGTCTGACGATGGATAGACCCTTCTGCCGAGTCGCCGAGCTCCTCGAAGCTGTCTTGTCCTAGCCAATCGCGGACGGCGAATAACATCCAAGTCATCAGGTTTGGCATGATCCTCCGCTAGGATTGAATGATTACGGTCTTCGGGATCTAGGGCGTTGGTTGCTTGGGGTGTCGACTCTCACTCTCACCCAAGGAGGCAAGGATTCAAGACAGGTTCAACTAGACGGCTTTCGGGTTTCAGGTTTAAGGACATCTGTTTTTACATCAAGACGGTAAGGGTACGTAGTGCGAAAGCAAGAGTTGCAATTCAGGTCGGACCATACCCTCGTAGGCCCTGAACCGTTTGCAACAACACAAAAAGCTCTTCTTGGCTGAGTGAGGATCACCGGCACAAGATAGAGAAGCCATCGGCCTGAGAGGAAATCTCCATGAGACGGACGGTAGATGTGAAGGGTTTTCCGATTCTGCCGTGAAGTCATTAAGAGAGGTAGGATGGCACACACAGCTGGGTCAGGCAGCAAGGCCAGTTTAAACTCAGAAAGGAGTGCAGATTAAACCCCAAACCCCCTTAAGCCCTAAACCCTAAACCCTTAAACCCTATGTAAACCCTGAATTTGCAAACCACTTACCACCGCTGCTTCAAAACAGTCGCAGCCTCAGACCCGGGGCTGAAACCGGAAGCTTCCTTGACCCCCCGGACCAGATGTTCGTTTGTCTACCCATAGGCTCCATAGTAGTTCCTTTTTGGAGTTACCTTATAGGACCCTAAATAGAAACCACAGAAAGGAACCACTATGGAGCCTGTGGGTAAGCGCCTGCATCTGTGCTTTTTGCCTTTGCGGTTTGGTATTGTGACTCCTATTGTTGGTGTAAACGGTGATTGACACCCTAACCTGGCCCTAAACCCGTCTTTACGTTCGCTTGCAGGCCCCACAAGCACTGTACCTTAAACCTACAAAACTTCGAAACCCTACGCCCAAAACTAGCCGAGGGGTCTTCCGGGAAGCCACTCCATCTTCGACAAACCCGTCGGCCAGAACCCGGGGAAGCGACGATGCTCCTAGACGTGGGGGGTTTGCTTTGGGGTGACGGCTGGTGTTAGGGTACGTACGGGTTTGAGGTTTTCTGGAGGAGCTGTAGGGGCTTTGGGCGAGAAGTCTTCCTGGATTTCCGGTTCGGAGTTCAGGGTTTCGGGAGCCACGAAGGCGACATTTATCCCTCGCAACTATACTATGACTTGGCTTCTAGATAGGCGATAGTTACGGCGTTGATTGAGGTGGCAAGCACCCGAGCCTTTAAGTGCGCCCTGAGATCCTTCTCATCTGAAGGCTACAAGGGCCTCACAATCAGAACAGGGTTTCTGGGGTCCTATAAGGGTGCACTCTTTCGCCCTCTCTCCTGCGGCCTGCCATCTCCATCACAGACCCTAAAATTGAAGGGGCACGCTCTTGCTGAGGATTCACAACGCCCACACGATAACCTGACATCCGAAACTCCACAGCGACACACCCCGTAGACCAAAACCGGAAATGCAAACCCTGCAGGCCCTAAACCCTCAACCACAAAACCGTTAAAACTCTGAAATCCTGAAGCCCAAGTCCATACTACACACCGCCTGCAGCCTCAAAACTGCACAGGCAGTCCTGGCCCCGGAGCCCAAGAACGGCTGAGTAAAGGAGCCCCCAGCCGTTGAAAGCAGCCACGAGATCTCCACAAGCGAGGAGGCCCTCGCAAAGAGCTTAGGACTGAAGGACTTAGGGTTTAGGGGTTTATGGGTTTAGGGTTCAGGGTTTAGGGGTTAAGGGTTTAAGGGTTTAGGGCCTTCAGAGGCAAAAAGCAGCACGGCGTGCAACAGAAGCCAAAACTCGTCATCACCAGAGCCCAGCCCTAAGCGCCATCTTCATTCAAGGCGCAAGTAGGCCCATCGAAGTGACGAGGCCCACCACAAGGTCCACGGCGGCCTTGCAG